AATGAGTGTTAATGATATGCCCCAACACACACAGAGCCTTTTGGCAAAGACTGGGAAACTTGTTGTTTCCAGGTATTTAATGAAATCTCTGTTTAATCATAAGCTGACTACTAAACTGACAAGCAGAGACTTCAGTGTCCACACATGAGAAAGAGTACAGACTTTACAGATTTAGTCCAGAAAAGTTCACAAAACTAATAAACATCAGTACAAACAATACAGCTTATGAGTGGGTCTAATGTTCCGAGTTGCCATGCTATATTATTTAAAATGTTTAACTTTCAACCAAAAAAAAAATTGGCAAAGCATGCAAAGAAACAAAAAAGTAAAACCCAAACATATGAAAGAAAGCAATCAAAAGAAACTATCTCTAAGGAAGCATAAACATTGGGTTTACATAGACTTTAAATATGTTATGTTTTCATAAAGAAAAAAGTTGAGAAAAGTGAATAGAGTCTAAGAGACTTGCAGAACACCATCAAGTGTACCAGCATAAGCACAGTGAAAGCCTAAGAAGGAGACAAGAAAGAGAAAGGAGAAAAGGATATTTGCAGAATGACCAAAACTTGCCAAATTTGACAAAAGATATGAATCTACACATCCACAAAGTTCAATGAACTTCAGGAATAATAAACACAGAAAGCCATTTCAAGACATGTTATTCATGCTATTGAATAACAGAGAATTTTCAAAATAACAAGAAAGAAGTAACTTGTTACATAGAAGGAACCCCTGATAGTATTAACAACCAATTTTTCAGCAGAAACCACACAGGCCAGATGACAATGGGATGACATATTCAAAATGATGGAGGGGCAGGGAGGAAGACCATCAACCCCAAATTTTATATCCAGAAAAACTGTCCTTCAAAAATGAAGGAAAAACTTGGATATTAGCAGGCAAGCACTTAACGAGAGAATTTATTACATGTACACCTGCCCAGCAAGAACTTCAAAGGGGAGTCCTTCAGGTTGAAATAAAAAGATACTAGAAAATAACTCAAATCCACATGAAGAAATACAGAGTACTGTTAAAGGGAACTACATAGATGAATGTAAAACACAGTATTAATGTATTTTCTGCATACAATCCTTTTTTCCTTTTATCTGATTTAAAAGATAACTATATAAATAATATTTTTTAGAATTATTTTATTTAACTTTATTTATTTACTTATTTTAATTTCACCAGAGAGGGGCAAGGTGAGAACAAGAGCAAGAGAGAGAGAGGGAAAGTGAGAAAGCAAGCTGCCAGGTCCAGGACTCGAACCATGCTTGACCATTTGGGAGTTCAGTCCTTTATCTACCTCACCACCTGCCGGCCTCTGTAAACAATAATTATTATATAAATCTGTCTTAATATAGCAGATGTATAAAGGTGAAATTTGTATGACAATAACAGCACAAAGAACAGGGGGAAAAGCTACATACGACAAAGTTTTTAATATTACTGAAACTAAGATAACTGTAGGGTAACCATAAAAAACATAACTTTAAAAAATACAGTAAAAGGTTGTTTAAATGGTACACTAGAAAATATTGACTTAACATAAAAGAGGGCTTTAATGGGTGAATAGGAGAACACAAAAAATAAAAAGCAAATAGAAAAATAACAGGCATAAATCCCATTTTACTAGAAATTACACTAAATATAGATGGATTGAGCATTCCAGATTGGTAAAATGGCTTAAAAAAACATTCTCCAGAGAATGGGACATCCGACTTCTGAGCAGGAACTCTAGTATTCCAAGCAACAAAAGAGAAAATTCAAAATGAGTGATGTTGAGGAAGGCAAGTTTTTGTTCAGAAGTGTGCCCGGTGCCACATCACGGAAAAGGGAGACAAGCACAAGACTGGCCAGACCTCCATGGTCTCTGTGGGCGGAAGGCAGCTCAGGCCCCTGGATGCTCTTCCACAGATGCCAACAAGAACAAAGGCATCCCCTGGGGAGAGGGTACACTGATGGGGGATTTGGAGAGTCCCAAGAAGGACATCCCTGGGATGAGAATGATCTTCGCTGGCATTAAAAAGAAGTCAGAAAGAGCAGAGTTGACAGCTTACCTTTAAAAGGCTACTAATGAGTAATAGGTGGTCACTGCCTTATTTATAACAAAATAGAAATGTCTCACTTTTTCTAATGTGCACCATATTTCAACTGATCTCCTATACCAGACTTCAGATCATGAATGGCTGACAGAATATTTTTGTTGGACCGTCCTAATTTAAATAAGACTAGCTTGTGGTCTTACTAACTAATGAATATTGCTGGGTTTTTTCATTTTGGTAGTAAGTTCAGTAAGTACTATCACTGTTTGCCCTCTCTAAAGATATAATTGGTAATCTATTAGTGATATTCATCTTTCTACAAAGATAGTGAATGCCATGTCAAAACCTACTGGAGAGGGGCCGGCAGGTGGCATGGTAGTTAAGGGTGCTGAACCACATGGCCAACTGAGGTCTGAGTCCCAGACCTGGTGGTGGCTTTCTCTCTCTCTCTCTCTCTCTCTCTCTCCTTCTCTTTCCCCTCTTCTTCCTCTCCCCCCGTCAAAGTAAAATAAATAAATAAAATAAAGTTAAATAAAAGAATTCTTCAGGGAAAAAACCTACAGGATATTAGTTTTTTTATTTAGGCTTATATGTAGCTCGTTATATGAATATATAAATGCTGGAAAAACCAAGCAGACTCACCTGCATTTTAATTTGTGTTCATTAATCCATTAAAGGCAAGGGCTGAAGATAAGGTAGTGATGTCTACTTTATGTATTTGATCATAACTCTGCCAATCTAATTAGAATTCCCTCTATCCAGGACCAGCAGTTAGCGTAATGGCTATGTCGCTGGACTCCCATGTAGTCGACTGCGGTTCACGTCCCAGACCCGGCAGCTTAATCTCACACCAGGCACATGTGAGTGCATGCCCAAGATCCCGAGAGGAGAATGGAGGAGAAGGGATTGCAGCGTGGCCATCCCCCCTGGGGGGTGATTTCTCACTTTCTATCTCTCTGTCTCTCTCTGTCTGTCTGGCGTGCGCACGCACCCTATAGCGAAAACCTCTCCAAAAGAAAAAAGAATTCCCTCTATCCAAAACATCCCCTTTTACTTATTGAAAGACATTTTAGTGTGGTTTGTGTATGCTGTCATATAAAGAATGTATAACACTTTACATATTTTATAAATTATTTGTAGGATCAGACAGTTTCGAAAGTCAGTAGGAAAAGATTTAGTAGCAAGTTAATTAGCTTTTGCTTTTAACTGTAAAACCCTGCCTCCTACCCTTTCAAGCCCACTACTCTTTGTCCTTGTCATAGCCACATCAACCCAGAAAAGAGTGTGATTTTTGCCTTTATAAGCACCCTCACCTTGCACTTGGGGCTGCAGGGTTTTGAGAGACACGAGTCCCCCGGATGACGCGAGCTTAATCAATAAAACTCTAATAAATTTGGCTGTGTCTGGATGTCCTCTTACTTCTCGCTGAATAGACTATGACAGCTGTGTCCCTGTGTATTTCCATTCCGGCTCCCAAGCTCAGGAGCAGCTCCTCTCTCAGTCTTGCTATCTCTCACAGAGGGCAGGAACACACTGCAGAAGAAGCTTTTCATTTCTAATTAGTTAGTTAGGTTTTTTTTTTTTTTCAAGATTATTTATTTCTTCCATGAGAGAAAAATACAGAGAGAGAGAGAGAGAGAGAGAGAGAGAGAGAGAGACCACACTCTCACACAGGGTACACACCCTCTCCAACAGGGTCTTCACATTGCAATCCACCCCAGCCCCAGTCAGCCCAGATCACAGGCAAGCACATGCATGGTGTGCTCAGGCAGGCCCCAGCATGTGAAGCCAGGACCTTTCCCATGCGGGTCCACCTGGCACCAGAGGGATCTTTTTAAAGGGCGAGTTAGATGACACGTTTTTATGTTTAAAAACTTTAAGAATAGACTCTTTAGAGAGTGTAAAAGTAACTGCTGACCCTTACGCATCTTGGAGTCTGTGGATTTCTTCTGCATCATTTCTAGCCTGGCCCCTCCCTTGCACCAAATGTGGCAACCTTCCTGGACTACTTGCAGTTCCTGGAACTCACAGGGTGCCTTCACTCAAGCTTTTGCACTTCCAGGAATTTCCCCTCCTCCTCCTAGTTTGCCTAACAAACTGCTACTCATTTGTTTTTTGTAAACTCAGATCAATTGTTGCCTCTGTAAAGCCCAAGAATCATTTCCTGGGAGTGAGACTTTCTCCTCCCCTATCATCCCCTTTCCATCCACTTTGTGATAGGAATGATTATTACAGAGAAGACTTGGAAATCATCAGCAGGGGAACCCACAAAATCTGCATTTGCCCACGTTTTCTTTAATCTTGGAAGTCCAAGAGAGGGAAGTAGCTTGCCGAAAACTATCTGGCAAGTTACCAGCAGAGAGGAGGCTGAGTCTAAGACACTTCTCCTTTGCCGATGCCCAGTGGGCACTCCCTGAGGCTTGGTGTGCTGTCCATCTTATGTTTATGAGGGTCTTCTGGATTCTTTCAAACTCCAAACAATGAATGTTTCAAGACCTGCTAAGATGGTGAGAGTAGGCTCCATACACTGAGCTCTCCTTCCCCTCCTTCCACCCTGGGACTTGGTTCCTGGTCTAGCTGGTCCCTCATGAACATCTCTTGACCATTCCTTTATCTCATAGAATTGACTTGTGATCAGGGCCATTCTAGAGGAATGACCCTTCTCCCACTTCAACACCCACAGATCAGAAGTACTAAATTTAAAAAATAATAATTTTATTTAACTTTATTAATTTATTTACTTATTTTTTAATCTGACCAGAGGGGGACAGAGCAAGAGAGAGAAAGTGAGAAAATAAGCCACCAGGTCCTGGACTCGACCTGTAGTCAGCCACATAGGAGTCCAGTGCCCTTAACCACCACTAACCACCTGTCAGCACCCAGAGGCACTAATATACAAACTTTGTCACCTCTGCTAATCAACAACCTGATGATTGTCATCCTCAAACAACGTACCTGGAAATCAGATCCCAGCCTTGGAGACAGGAAGTCTGTGCTGACCTCGTAGGTGAGGCATGTACTCTTTGATCTACAGCATACATAACTTACACCTGTGCTCATGGCCCCATGGACCAGTCTCCACCTGGTCATCCACGGAACATTCCTGTACTTTGGAAGTAGATCCATGTCTTCCTCTGCTGGACCTCTATGTGTGTTCTTCGGAATTGGTAAACATAACAGGCAAGCCTTCTCAGATTTAGGGCTCCTCCCTTACAGACGGCAACATTGCAGGACTGGATGGCTCCTGAAGAGAGCATCATAATGAGCATATTCAGTCTCCAGACTTACACATAACTCTTAGAACCACAATGGAAGTTCTAGAAGGCCACAGGATACAAGGAGAAAAGCATGACCCTTGGAGGCAGAAAGCACTAGATTTGAATTCCAGACCCACCATTTATCAGCTTTAGACCCTCAGGGAAAGTAAACTTTCTAAGTCTACAAAATTGCCTCTTTTTTTAAAAAACAAAACAAAAACAAACAAAAAACAGATGTTCTTTTTAATTGGGATTAAACGAGATAACCTCAGTAAACTGCCTAGCATGAGGGCTGGCATACAGTAAGTGCTCAATAGTATTAGTTGTCTTACTTTGTCCCAGACTGCTCTCTTCTCTCTTTGAGGCTCAGCACTTTAATTTGACTGAATCAAACAAGATCTCTGGGGCCAGCAGATGACATAGTGGTTACTTCACTGGACTCCCACATGTACGATCATGGTGTGATTCCTGGACCTTATGGCTTAAAAATCACGCTGGGTACATATGTGTGCATGCCCAAGATTCTGGGAAGAGAATGAAAGAGAAGGGACTATGGCATGACCATCCTCTCCTGGATGGTGATTTTTCCCTTTCCCTTTCACTATCTGTCTTTCTCCAGCCAGTGCATGCACCCTAAGGTAAAAATACATTAAAAAAAAAAATCCCTTAGCCCAAATTTCTCCAAGAGTAAAATAATATGGAATTGATTACATGACTTTTGTGTCTCTTTCTATTCTTTCTGGTTTTATCAGTCTCTCCAATCAGGTCCATGGATTCAGCACAAAGGTTGCCCATGCCTGTGACTTGAACAACAAAAGTTTTGTTCTCAGAGGAAGCACAGGGGTTTGGAGGTACTTGGGGAAATGCAAATTTGGTGGCTAAATAGGACTTCCCTAAGTCTGATGACTTCCAAGATGCCTCTGAGATATAATTCCAGTGACGATGTGATGGGGAGAGGGGGGGCCAGCCCTATCTCAAAGAATAGCTACAATCAGTGTACTCATTCCAAAACACTATTAGTACTTACTGTATGTCAGGCACCATTGACTGGGGAAGTGTGAAGATAAATACAGCATGATGAAACTCAATCAGAAGACAGGTGCACTGACCTAGACCCAAGAGATCTGATTTCTGGTCATGGCTTTGAAAAAATTGGCCAAGTGGCAAGTCCATCAGAGGTGTTATCCTCTAAGCCTTAGCTTTCCCAGGGTGAGATAAGAGAGTTGAAGGGTGATTTGTAAGTTTTTTTTTTTTTCCTCTTCTAGATTATATCTTTCCTCTGAAATTCAGCTCTGTATATCCAGTGTCACCTGGAAATCTCCATCTAAATGAACAATAAACACTTCAACTGAACAAGCCAACAAACAGATTTTACACCTCTTATTCCCAGTTTTTCTCCAAAGTTATCTCTACTTCCTATATGTCCTTTCTCAGAGACTGGCCATTGCCATCTGTCAAGAATGGCTAAAGGCCATAGCATATAGGTCAGTCTCCACATTCCACATCCAGTCAGTCACCAACCCTGCCCAATCCACCTGGTCATAACTCTCTAGTTGAATCCTCTCCCACCTCATTGTTAGGCCAGAGGTCTGGGCAGCTTGGATGTGGGAGTTGGACGCTACGCTACAGTCTGCTGATGCAACCCGGATCTAGTCTGTCATCAGACCTGTGCTGCTCTCAGATCTAACTCGGATGTAGCATGTGCACTCTATTCTGCACATGCGCTCTATTCTGCACGTGGTGCTCTACTCTGCACATGTCACCAGACCTTCCAGGGCACAGTAGTCTGCTCTTCCCCTAAACCTTTACCATACATGGATTGTTTCTACCTCTAAGACATTCGCCCCACCCTCTATCCTTATAAAAACTGCTAAACCCCACCCTAACATGCAACTTCTCTGGTCCGTCTCCCTCCCTCTCTCTCCCTTTCTGTTGGACCAGTGAATCTCTCCTAGGAATGCTTCCAGTAAAGGCTCTACATTTCTATTTTCTCACGTGGTCAGCTCATTCCTTACAATCATCACTTCTTTCGTTGAGATCATCATTTCTTCTAATCAGCTTCCAACCTCTAGTTCTGTCTAAATCTCTCCCACACAATGGCCAAAGGAATCTTTATAAAGCGAAAGTTTGAACAAGTAACTCAACTGCTTAACACTTTTGGTGGCTTCCTTCAAGGGGTAAATGGCTTTCCATGAATGCGTTGAATTATTTGTATGCAAAAAGAATTTTTTTAAAAGTTTATATATTTCATGTGTGAGAGAGACAAAGAACCTGACACTGTGATCTACCTCAAGCCTCAATCAATCCCAGACCATGGGCATGTGCTCAGCATCCCCAGAGAGGACCCAAGACATGAACAGGCAACCGTTCCATGTTGGTCTGCCTTGCAGACACAGAGCATTGTGTTTTACCATTGTGCCGTTGTTTAGCCTCCCCAAAACAGGTTTTGATCTCATGGGAGGAGAGAAACTGCCTCCCTGAGATGGCTTAGGTCACTCGGTTGTGTATCCTTCCTAAAAATAAATGATATTAGGCAGTGAGGTGGTTAAGGTGCTGGGCTCCCACATAGCCCATTGTGGTTGAAGTCCCAGACCTGGCAGCTTGCTTTCTCACTTTCCCTCTCTTTCTCTCTCTCTTTCTCTTTCTCTCTGGGGAGTGGGTGTGTGCCCTATAGCAAATTTTAAAATAATAATAATAGATAAAATTAAATAAATATATCTTTTAAAAAATAATGAATGATAAACAGATCAAAACAACAATCAAATACTGTATTTTATATACATGTTTTTTTTAAACGCTCAAAAATATATGAGATATCCTGGGTCAGATTACCCCCCAAAGAGATGCAGAGATGGAGATTTGTGTGTGAGAAATTTATTGTGTGCTCATGAAACCAACAGACACCTGTGGGGAGTGAGGAAGTAGGACCAAGCTGAGGGAGAAGTTAGGCTGTGGATGCAGTTATAACTCAGGCCTCAGCAGACCTCATGAGAAGCTCTGGAGCTGGGATGGCCTTTCAGAGCTTTTCTGAATTTAGGTAAGGGAAGTAGACTTCTCATTCTTTTAAACAGTGAATTTTATTCTTTTATTTTTAAAAAGAATTATTTTACTTAAAACTGCAGTCGGCCATGTGGGAGTCCAGTACCCTTAACCACTACATCACCTACTGGCCCCTCAAACAGTAAATTTTAAAAGGAAGCATCAGAGTGGCAGGTAGCATGGTGTGTAAGGGCACTGAACTCCCACATGGCCAACTGTGGTTCGAACTCCAGACCTGGCCACTTGCTTTCTCACTCTCTCTCTCTCTCTCTCTCTCTCTCTCTCTCTCTCTGTCCCTCTCTGGTCAAATTAAAACTTAAATACATAAATATATAAAGTTAAATAAAATAATTTTTTTAAAAAAAGACTATTAAAAAAAAGGAAGCATCTATCACTGAATATGGTCTTCCTTTATCTGTTTGTTTGTTTTTGAGGGAGAGATTTTTGCTACAGAGACCATATACTCACCAGAGAAACAAAAAGCTAGAAATCACCCCCCAGGGTGGATGGCTATGCCACAAGCCTTCTCCTCCATTCTCCTCTTGGCATTTTGGGCACAACATATATGTACTCAGTGTAAGTTTTAAGCCACCGAGTCTAGGACTCAAACTGCAATCAATTATATGGGAGTTCAGTGAGGTAACCATTATATCAACTGCTGATCCCTAATTCCTTTATCTTATAGAATGCCTTCCATTGGGTTATTGGAAAATTCATCATGTAATTTTGTATGTTTTATGAGCAAAACTGTGTCATGACTTTTCCAGCATGATTTTTCTATCAGCTTCGAATTCCTCCATATGTGAATCTGGTGAAACTGAATCAGGTATGGTGAAGGATTCAGTTCACATTTACATCCTGTTTCACAATTTCAATTCTGATTCATATTTTATTGTACCATTTTTGTACTGTATTATACATTGATATTTTTTCTTTATGATATGTGACAGAGGGTCAACCCTGTGGTATAGTAGATAAGTACTGTAAACTGAGAACCATGTTGGTGACCATGGTTCAAATCCTGACCCTGATAGCTTGACAAGCACACCTGGTGTGTATGTGTGTGTGCCTCAAATACTGATGGGATAAGGTAGAAGAGAAAACTACAGAGTTAGCATCCTCCATTGAGGGTGCCTTTTCTTTCTCTCTCTCTGTCTCTGGCAAGTGCACACACCCTCTGGCAATAAAAAAAAATGTAATAGTTTATGCCAAGAATTTCTATCCTTTTACAACAAAGGCTTTTAAATACTTATTACATAAACTCATCTCTCTCTTCAGTTGCTTAAAGTTCTTAACAGTCCCTAACATTCCTCTTAATACTGTAAAGTTACTGTTGATTCTTGTAGAGAAGCCCAAGAATGACATTCATTTGTGGGGTGCTTTGTGGGGTGCTTGAAGCATTCTGGTACATGTCTCCAAGGATTTTCTCTGATCTTGGTCACATGGTAACACTACCTGTGCATCACTAGCTGCAGTTACATGGAATTTATCATTGAATTACTCATGACCACTTTTAGGAAACAATAAAATGGTGGATTCCAAATGTAAAATGACTGCCATGCATGAGAAACTGCACTAAATACCTTACTTGATTAATGTCATTTAATTCTCTCAACAACTGAGGGGTAGTTTCTCACTTTTTCTCTCTCTGTCTCTGTGCTTCTGGTAAGTTCATGGACTCTATAGCAAATATCTCTCTAAAAAAATAAAAATAAAAAATATGACAATGATTCAAAACATCCTCTAAACATCCCTTCTTCTCCATTTTCCTCTTGGGGTTTTTGGGCATATACACAACTCTGTGAGATGGTTCATCTTATCTGAGTTATTGATGAGAAAAACATGGCCTAGAGAGA